CACTTCAAAACAAAATACTGTTTTTTCTCTTTTTTGCCGAATAAATGTCGCCATACGCCGATTGATACTAATTATGAAATATTGTTTTTTCTTCCAAAATAAATGTCACCATACGCCGATTGATACTAATTATGAAATATTGTTTTTCTTCCAAAATAAATGTCACCATACACTGATTGATACTAATTACAAAATATTGTTTTTCTTCCAAAATAAATGTCACCATACACTGATTGATACTAACTATAAAATATTGTTTTTCTTCCAGAATAAATGTCACCATATACCGATCGATACTAATTATGAAACATTGTTTTTCTTCCAGAATAAATGTCGCCATACACCGATTGATACTAATTTTTGTATTTGGAGAATAAAGACAAAATTTTGTTACTTTAAATTTTCATTTCGAATTTTTTACACTACCATTTTCAAATTAATGAATGATACTTTTTGCAATGAATGATTTTCGTACTTTTCAACCGAATAACAGTTATTGTTATTGCTCATTTTAAGTTCCTTCCATTTCCTTTTCCTCTTCTTTTTCAATTCAATAACTAAATGTTATAAGAAATGGAATTAATGAAATTGAATGCAATCAATATTGAAATATCGAAAATTGAACTTTATATTCCTCTTTCTTGTGCTAAAATATTACCTCATGATATCATATTTTTGCTATTTTATTTTTCTTTTTTTTCACCTTTAACCTAATCATATTCCATGCGAAATTAATTAATTACAAGAAAATTAAACATATTAATATATATACACGTGTAACTGAATAGTGAAATTTTTACATAAAGATTTAACGCAAAGAGTGAACGTAAAAAAGATTCATTGTGAAGATCCAACGCAAAGATATAAAACATGAAGATTCAACGTAAAGATTCAGCGTAATAATTGAACGTATGGATTCAACGTAAAGATTCAACGTAGTCATTCTATTCGTATTGCATTTTCAGTATTTTTAATTTGTAATTTTTTCTTACTAATAGTATTAAATTTTATTGTCATTAAAAGTAATGCAAGAAATTGTTAATTTTATTAAATCTTCTTTAAAATATTAAACAAAGAGAAAGAAAAAAAAGACGAAAAATTCGCGAATACTTTCTTATTTTATGGCAAAAAATTTAATGATCAAAAAAAAAAGAAAAGAAACGAAAAATGATGCAATCATTCAATTGTTCACAATTTATTTCCCAATAGTAAAACATTTCTCAAAAAAACGTGATCGTTTGACGTAAAACGTGACGTTTATTATTATCTATATTTATCAGGTAAAATTGCATTGATAAATATTGACGAAATTCTTACGTTCGAGTTACTTTTTTTTTCTTTTTTTTTTGCACTAAACGTTGAATTGCTTCATTTAGGTGTACTTTAAATCAATGTGACATTTTGAATACAAAATTTGGTGACATTATTTTGCATTAAAAGTTTTGTAATTTTCAAATTTGCTAACAATTTTTATTCATTCATTATTAATCGAATATATTTAATTATAAAATTTACTATCTTTATTTGATATAATAATTTCCATTAACAAGCAAATTTTTGAATTCATTTATCATGAAATATATTTTCAAAACGTAAATAATAATTTATGCAAGTTTTTGTCATATAATTAATTTTATACTAAATATCATTATTCATATAAAATAAGTCATCGTATACGTAATCACTTCTAATCATATCATATTAATCGTAAAGTAATTACGAGTAATTGCAATTTTCTCCAATTATTAGTAATACAATTTTCAATTCGCATATAATTCTATTATTTATATTTAGGTTAATAATCGTCTTATCATTATCTTTTTCCTCTAAGCTATTGTATCAATGAATTCTTTTCAACAATAAATTTCATATTATCGACGTAATATTCCATAAAATAATGTTGGCAGTAATTAATTAATGATATTGATAAATGCAATATTAAATAAAATGATTACATAGAAAATGGAATTGATTATAGTAGTCAATGAAAAATTCATAAAAATTAGATAACGATAATATCACAGTTACTATTAACAAATGATAAAGTGATAAAACAAATGTTGATTGCTAATTTATCATCAGTTATCTTACATTAAAATCAATATGAAATATAAATTTATTATAATTATGCTTTTAAAAAAATTATTAAATTTATTACAAACAATAATAATTCTTTCTTTTCTTCTTTTCTTTTTTTTTTTTTTTGATCTTTTGAATACAATAAAAGTTTATTTTAATTGCAATGCTAATAATAGCATCAAAATTAATTACATGAAATATTTATGCTTTAACTATCATTTTATTATTTATTTAATTACAATAATATATTATCATTCTAAAATATTTTTTTTTTCAAATACCTTTATTACTTATATAAAGGTATTACAAAAATATTTTGTTAAAAATTAACATAAATCACTGAGAATATAAGTGATAAATGATAGATAGCAAAAGATTGAAATAATTCCAATACTAAAAATGAAAACAAAAAAAAGAAAGAAAGAAAGGAAAAAATATTTGGAATAAAGTAAAAAGAAATGGAAGAAAAGGAAAATTAAAAAATAAATAGTAAATTTAAAAAAAAAAGTATTTTGGAAGAAAATTATTTAACAAGAGATGAAAATGAAGTTTGAAACAAAAATAGGAAAAAGAAAAACTTCCAACTACTAATTATACCATTTATAAAGTGTTAATTACATAGATACAATTTAATATGATAGCGTAATTGATAATATTTATCAGTATCACTATAACTAGAATTGATGCAGATTCGAAATATAAACTGCTAAGTTTCCAGGTTACAGTATATATATATATATATATATGTACGTTCAGATTTTAAGAGTTATTAATTTAATTAACAATTAAGGCTGATGTAACATAGGAGTCACTAATAAATACAGGTAAATATGAATTTTAGCAAATTTAACTGAAAATTAGAATTGGCATTACATGAGGAAATCAATCATTAATGAATGCAATCATTAATTATATAAATGTAATTATACAAACAAATATACATATGCTAAATATATATTTAAATTTTTAATAAACATTTTTTTTAATATTTTTAATAAACAAAAATTTAGTTGAAAATTAAAATAGGCGTAACATAAGGGAATTACTAATGAATATAATTTAATATGATTAAGAATATGTAAATATATATATACATATCAGGAGAGCATTATTTTGAAAAAGAAATCTTTCATCAAATGATATTTGAATATTCAGTTATAATAATAAAAGTATTCTTGCGTAAAATAATTAATATATTTAAAATTAAAAAATTTAAATGATTTCGCATCTAAAAATTTTCTTTTTCTTTTTTTTTTATAAGATCTTTTCTTTTCATTTCTATTTTTTATTAGTAAATTAATCATCCATTTCCATTTCATTTTTTTACCTATTTAAAAAAAAAATTTTACTGCATCATTTCGAAATAGCACAAAACTAAAATTATGAGCATTTTAATTACAACAAGAAATTTGAATGAGCAAAAAGGAAAAGAAATTAAAAATAAAAAAAAAAGGAAAAATAAAAAGAGATATTTACAAAAAATGGAGATTCTCATTTAAAAGACCTGTACAATTATGTATATGCATAATGATTCATTGATTTATCGATTAATTGATTGACTGATTGATTGATTGATTGATCGATTGATTGATTAAGTGACTAAATACAAAGACAGGAGAAGATTATTATATATCTTCTTAAATGATTAATTTGATTTCAGATTGAAATTTCAATTCTTACAACAAATTTGATCGAATATAGATGAATGCAAGAAAAAAACTAGCAGGAAGAAATTATATAAAATTATGATTTGCTCATTGATAGCTAAAATTTTCCTCTTTTTTTTGCCATGAAAATTATTAAATTAAACTTATTTGTCATATTATTAGCATAAAAAGATACAAACAAAAGCTGTAATTTGACTAAAGTGTAGTCTAAAATTGACCCAATTAAATTTGAATTAAATTTAAATTCTTAAAGAATTAATTAATCATTCTCATTTAATTCCTTTTCTTGCATTTCATATTCATTTTATTATTGCAATAATATAAAATGTTAATTACAAAAATAAAAACTTAAAAGTTAAAATTTCGTTTTCGTTCTCTAATTTTTTTTTCGCTTAATTGTCATCGTTCTTCATCATTTCGTAACCATTTCTTTTTTGTCATCCATTGGTCACATGGTTTGACATTTCGTCCATCAATTGCATTTGCCATTAAATCCATTTTAACACCATTAAATGCTATATCGCCAATACAACCAACAAAATTTTTCTCATGTAAACCACCGGTCATACTATCTAAATCCGGTACACCACCTGAAATGGGTTATTTTAAATCAGTTGCATCATCTGAAATGGGTTATTCTAAATCAGTTTTATCACCTGAAATGGGTTATTCTAAATCAGTTGTATCATCTGAAATGGGTTAATTCTTTTTTTTTTTATTTTCTTTTCATTCGCATTTTAATTTTTCTTTTCTTTAATCTTTTTGAAATTAATTAATTAAAAAAGAACTTATTTTTCCATTAAAATCTCCCATTTTTTTTTCTTTTTTTTCAACAAAATGAACTATTAAATGATTGAATTTCATTTTTTTTTCAACAAATTCATCATTTCTCGTATGCTAAAAAATTTTAAAAAAAAGTTAAAATTATTGAAATAATTTCCAAATAAAAATTATTAAATTTATTAAATTTGATTTTTATTTAAATTCGAAAAATTTATTAAATTTGAATGTATTGAGTGTTTTAGCGTAAATTTCCAAGGTTCTATTACTTCATTTCAATTTCATTTCAATTAATGAATATTACTTCATTTTAATTAGGTGATTATGATAATTAGTAATTAGGTGATTACGGTTAAGAAAATGCAATTTTGATGAATGCTAGTATAAATAAATATTTTTCTTTTTAATTAACACATATAACGCTTTAACATATGTTTACTTTAATATTGCGCTAATGGTATTAACTGAAGCAATTATATTAATAAGTATGAGGAGGGAAATTTATCCAATTTTACACCTATCAATTATTTCATTTCTTATCAATTATTTCATTTCTTATCAATTATTTCGTTTCTTGTCAATTATCTCATTTCTTGCCAATTATTTCATTTTTTGTTATTTTATTCTTTGTCAATTTATTTCATTTCTTTTTCCTACACATATTACCTAATCTTCTTCATCTATTTACTTTTTTCTATAACTTCCATATTTTCTTCTTAGCATAATTATTATCAATTTATCCTATAATAATTATAACTTATTTTTAAAACTTTTTCATGTTTTTTCCACATTTTAATATCTATTTCTTCATAAAATCATTAATTATTTACCTTAAAATTTTCAATTCTTAATCATATTCATGTTTTAAGTATTATTAATTCCAATCATTTTTTAAAACAAATAATGAAAAAATTAAACTAAAAAGATATTTCAAATAATTTTTAAAACAAATAAGGCAAGAATTTAATTAAGGAAAAAATTTTAGTCTTTGAAATTTTAAACATATTTAAATTTTGCATAAATTTAACCTATATAAATATCGCTATCAACATTAAGCATAGCAACAATGCCAAATGATGAGCCTGTAATTGGTGCACCATCATCGATAATCATTTTTCCATCACGACCTTTGCGCCAAATTTGCAATTGATGCTCATTATCATCATTTACCACTTCAGTACTAATTAATTGTGATGCACCACCACCAAGCTCATATCTTTAATTAGCATATAAAGAAGTCATCAGTAATTCAATCTTT